GTAGTTGTTTTTTTACCGAAATCTACCATTGTCGTTCATTTTATGAACATTGTGTGGATATCACTTTGAGCTTTTTGTATTCATTAAACATAGTTTCGGTTACCATCCCTCGTATACTACCAAAAATAGTTGTGATTGCAAATGATGCTCAGGTCAATCTCGATGTTTTGATGCGGGAGATTTGAGATTTCGGTGACACGTCCGGACAGGTCATTAGCCACGACCACTTGGGAAACGGCTCGGCAAAAAGAGTGATTTACAAGAGCTAATTGGTATTCTAAGTGCGCGACGGTCAGGTACCGGTGGCGCCAGAAAGTCGCCGTGAAAACAATACGAGTCACGACGTGACATATCATGGAATAAATACCATAATACCTGCCTACCTTACCTGTCTCCGACGCTGCAATGACAATTGCTTTATGTATTTATGGTTTTGTCTCGACATCGATGACGTCACGTCCAGCTCAGCGAACTGCCCTGTATATGGTGTTAGTGATTCACTGTCATTCCAGAGATAGCACTTCTAAGAATAATCTGAGAACATTCACTTTCCAAAGTTATTTTCTGAAAGTACCTATAATTTATAGATATCCTGAAATATGATGCAGATTCATGCCAAAATAATTACCTACCTAAGGAATATTTTTGAAGGATTATTTCAAGTTAGAACGGATTAACGGATATGTGATTTCTTTCTTGATTTCGATTTATATTATATTATAAATTAGTGCTGATTTCGAATTTATACCCGAAAATAAGCGAAAGTTTAGAAATTCACGACCTGACTTGATTTCAATCTACCTGAATTGTTGACTTGAAATTTAGGTAAGTAAAGTTTTTATTTTCGAAATTCAGGTCAAGTCAAATAGTTACATATCGAGTACCTATAAATACCTACTTCTCAGAATATTTCCACCATCCACTCTTTAAATATTCTAGGCACATTGTATGGACATCCAATGTGGACTGAATTTCACATTCTCTGAACATTCTCGGAATATTCTCAAAATGCTCTGAGTTCATTATCAAAATATTTATAGCTCATTATTCGAGTATTCTCAAAATATTCTACGAATATCCTATAGGGACGTTCTAGGACTATCCATATATACAAAACGGCCTATTCTAGTATTCTAGATATCATGAGAATATTCCTGGTAGAGGTATATTATAGGCTCCGAGCTCTGTGCTATTAGCTCTGAGCTCTGCAGCACATATGTATACAGGGTGTTTCATAATTGAATGTCAATATTTGGGGACGCAATTCTTGGGCCCATTCTAAGAAGAAAGTTTCATATGAACGTATGACCTAAACATCCTAACTTTTGAGATACAGGGTGGTGAAGTTCTCAAAAATTAATAGTTTTTTATTAATATCTGTAATACCACTTCAGATATTCTGATGAAATTTGGCATACATGTACTATGTATCAAGAGGCATCAGTTAGCGTACCACATTTTTTGTTGTTGCCACCAGTGGCGTTCGTATGGAATTTCACATACCTATTTTGGCAGACATTGATGGTACGCCACTGATTAATCTCGAAATTGAAATCATTCCTGAAATTCCCAATCATTTCTAAGCAAATTTGATCACTACAATTTTTTCAATCTGATGCACGGTTTTCGCTTAAAAAAATAAAAAGCTTTTCACTACATGATTATAGCAATATTGTTAATATGATAATATCACAATGCAGAGAAATAGTTTTTATTTTTAAGATCAAATTTCAGAAATACAATTCATAGTTCATGAACTTTGTATTCGTATTTGGTATTTTCGAATTATAACTTCTCATTGTAGTAGGCTATATTAATTTTCGAGAATTTTACCACCCTGTATCTCCAAAGTTGGGACGTTTAGGTCATACGTTCATATGAAACTTTCTTCTTAGAATGAGCCCAAGAATCGCCTCCTCGAATATTGACATTCAATTATGAAACACCCTGTATACAAGGTGTTTTTGAAATAAGTGCACATATTCAGCATAGGTAACAATATGATACAGTCTATGGAATATTCCCATGATAGCAGATATTTTCTGATACTTCTAATCAACGAGAAATTTCATCCCAAAAATTGAACAAAATACGAGAAAAAAATCAAGTACGTCACTTTGAAACAATTTAAATGATTGAACTCCGCGTGATTGTGCCTACCGCATGGAAATTTGAACAGAGGTGACGTCAGATTTGCTACAGTGTAGAACTTTGGGTGAAAAAAGAGGTCTAACCTCAAATTCCATTTTTATTCCAAATTTTTTTCATTAGTGCCATTCGATAGTCCATGACAAGCTTTCTCAGTGTTTGAAATATTTGCACTTATTTCAATGCCACCCTGTATATAAATCAGTATAGTTCTGTGACACTGAAGTGCTCTTGTCACAATGCAAGGTGTGTAACTTAATTATTAATCTAAACATTCAAAAACACTAAATAACAGTTGTCATTTCTGTGTCCGAACACTTCTTGATGAATCCCTAGGAAGTCGCATGCTTATTTCAAGTTGTTATACCAAAATAAGATAAGGTAGGTACTATTTTCGTGTGATAGCTCTAGATTAGTAGGTATAATTTCGTTTTACAACTCGGAAGTAGCATAATTTCACACATTCCCTATCAATAGAATGGAAATCAACTCGAATAGTCAATATTGGTAGAATTAGAATTATTGATACAAATCGGAAATACAAAAATAATCGTCAATTCTACCAACTTTGCGAAAACTAGGATGGAGTGACATCTTACGAATTCGAACTGAAACTCGTGAAATTCACTCTAATAAAATCAAGGTATCTGTTCTGCCATCCGGCACCCTACCCTACAGTTACGTTACAGTGACTCTATACCACATACCACTGTAATTTATAGCGTACTGTTGTATGATATAGGAACTGCGCCACCTAACTTTGACTTGCCGTACCTAGTTAGTTTGATGTTCAAGTATTCTCAATCAATGTCTGTAAAGGCTACTCGCGATAGAAAATAACACGTCGCCCCACCTGACGGCAGCAACTTGGAAATTTCTGAGCGGTTTGTTTTGATGATATAACAAATGTAAACTGTGAACCAATGAAAAGAAAGTAAGCATGCTGCTTTGACAGCTTTCAAGAACTCCGATAGGTGGCGGGTGGCGTACGCTCTATCGCGAATGCATCAACCAATCAACCATCGCCATCAACCAAGGTTGGCAGAATATATGAGGACATTTTTGTAGAGGAAGGTTGCCACGATTAGAAAACCCAGTGAGGGGAAGTAGTAATTCGTGACGTGATCGCATCCAAAATTTCATGATGGGATTATTGAAAATGTATGTATAATTTTAGATCACAGCTGGATGGGTAAATATACATAAAGACAGTGTTGTAGAATATGTTTAGATTCCCATGAATCCGAAATGAGATTCACGACACTTCTACCAACCTTGAAATCAACGCACATAGGCGCCATCTCCCAAGAATAGATTGAAGTTTTTAATCTATATACAGTGACTCTGTACAATGATGGAAGTAAGATATGGATAGTTTATCTTCTGTAGTCTATGGACCTATGGATATGGTCGTTGATTATATTGCGCTTTTGTTTCAGAAATTTTACTCGACCTCTCGCAGAGATTATACACTCCCCGAGAACAGCGAGAGCAATGGTTCCAGCGATCTTCTAATAGATGGCGACATTGCACAATTATAACATCTGTCAAATTTGACATTGTCGCAGATTTTTCGAATTGAGAGTTGAATAATCCCACTGTGACATACATGTTACATATGTTCCACGTACTTAAAATGCCATTTGTCTCAGCAGCAATAGAATCATCACCATCTAGCGGGAAAATGTAGAATTCTCTGTACATAGACGCAATAGAAAATTACACATCGCCCCATGTATGACGGCAACATTTTGAACATTTCTGAGTGGCTTGTTTTGATGATATGACCAATGAATACAAACAAAAAACAAATGTAGACTAATGAAAACAAAGTAAACAGGCCGCTTTGACAGCTTTCAAGAACTCCGATAGATGGTGTCCGCTATCGCGAATAGTTTATACCAGAGATTAGTCAAGTTGACTGATCTCTGGTTTCTGCATTATATAAGCGCTTTATCCATAGAAAAACTACGAGAGTAGTTTATTATCTATGCCCTCATCTCAAACTCGTCTCTGATGCCTCTCACCAGCTATCATATGCATGAAAATAGTGTGATTTGATTGATTTGAAACTTTTGTCTTTCGTCAGCATACACTTTAATTTGGACCTATGATAGGTACATATATGTATAAGTCAAAAATGGAAGCAGTGAAATTCCATTTTTCAGCAACCGTCCAGAAAGTACTCACTTCTCGAACAATTCTTCATTGAGAATGAGAAATTATCACTTTTCTGGCCTAGTCCGGGTGGAACATGTTTTCCGGACTCGGCCGAAAAAATATACAGCGTCATCAATCTCTGCAATGACATAATCTAATAATATAAAAATATGTACCTAGATATGTGGTTGATTATGATGATTTGATTTGGACATTGAATGGAAAGCAGCAGCAGTGAAAGCAAGTTAGAAAATAATATAGACAGGGATGCACCTGATGAAATTTTTAATGCAGTGAAGAGCCATTCGCATAATTCGTTCACAACATAGAAATTAGATAGATAGGTATATGAAGATGAAGAATTACAAAACTGAGGATGTAATTTTGGCTTATTTGTCACAAGAATCGGCAATTGTTTTTTCTGTACTGAATAAACTCGCTTTCATTCCAAAACAAAAATGTGTGCCTATTATTGACTATTTTTTGTATTCAATGTCAATAAAGAATATTGGAATGAATAAATATTTTTTTAGTGCAGCCAGCAATCACGTTGTCAATAACTAGAATAGGTACCTAAAGAGGATAAAGAAAAGAGTGCCACTTCTCCAGATATTAACATAAAAATCGATCATCCAAACCATATTCACTACTCACCATATTCATCAAGGAAAAGTAAATAAGCCAACAAATTTAATAAATTATTTTATTTTCTCTAAAATTTTGATACAAAATTATCTATGTACCTACTTAGATTATAATATCACATATCTGATGTGGATATTACAAACCACGAGTTTTCTTACAAAAAAGTAAGTAATAAGGACCAAAAATAAGATCACAACTGTTAGACAATGTCACAATATGAAACATTTTGAAAATCAAAATTTTAGGTCTTGACAATTTTGTCTTTCTAGTTCAATGTGATCTCTCTCAGCAAATATTGGCCAAGTGAAAATTCACTACAATCACAACCCTCTCTAGCCTAAACCAATAAATTAAGTTAGATTAAGTTCTCATTGGAAACAAATGATCAAAAACTAAGTAATTATAAATATTAAAATTCCATGGAAAATATTTGTTTTGAAGATGTAAACTCATAAGTGTCAACTATTGGCAGTGAAATTTGTTCATTCATCAAATTCTTCAGCTGCATTATTGAATACCTACTTCAAAATAATCAGATTTGTCAAATCAAAAGAAGATTTATAACAAATAAAAACACCAAATCAAGAGTTTAGCATACTACTCCAATATTTTTCATGGACACCCTTTGGTTTCGGAGAATCTTCAGCCGAAAAATATTATACAGTGTGACCCACTTGAGACCGGAGCACCCTTATAAAATCTATAGTTTTTAACCAATTTCTTTCTTTTTGTTTCAGCAGAAGGACTATCCGGAGATCTACGTTTACACAAATTTGCAAAATAAAATTTCAATCTACGGGGCATACTATGTTATTTTTTTCATCTTAAAAATTGCGAAATATCATTAGCGATTTTTTCCAAAAAAAATCGACCCCACCACTGAATTCAGTCCTTCATTTAGGTTGAGAGCAAAATTTCAATGAAAAATATCAATTGGCAACAAAGTTATAACAACATTTTGATTGCTCACCATTTTTTATGAATATTTCAGACAAATTCTGAGAAACGGCAACATTGTCAACACAAATGTTGGAAATCATCAATAGGTTTCTGGTATACATTTGAATTGATTACACAAATTATTATCGAGTTATAACATCTAAAATGGAATAAAATGAAAAATCCATAACATAGAAAAATCGGCCTTGTTCATCTAAGAAATTAGAGGAAGCCAAAAATAACAAGAGCTTTCAGAAATTGTTGGATCACATCGATAATTAACTTAGGGTACCATTCTAGAGATTATAACTCAATAATAATTTGTGTTATCAATAGAGCAGTTCAGCTACCGTTGAGAGAGAAAAAAAATGTCTTCCCATCTGTCCTTGTCTTCAGTGTTCAACATGAAATAATGAAAATCTTATGTTGCCAACACTGGAAATGAGAAGAAATGGAGAAGAAGACCGTTCTAACCTTCTTTTATATCGAGGTTAATATGATATTCTTCTCCATTTTTTCCCATTTCCAATGATGCCAACATAATATTTTCATTATTTTATGTTGGAACACTGAAGACAAGGACAGATGGGGAAGTCATTTTTTTTCTCTCTCAACGGTAGCTGAACTGCTCTATTCAAATGTATACCAGAAACCTCGATGATTTCCAACATTTGTGTTGACAATGTTGCCGCTTCTCAGAATTTGTCTGAAATATTCATAAAAAATGGTGAGCCATCAAAATTAATGTTGTTATAACTTTGTCTGAATTCGGTGGTGGGGTCGATTTTTTTTTAAAGAAATCGCTAATGATATTTCGCAATTTTTAACTTGAAAAAAATAATATAGTATGCCCTGTAGATTGAAATTTTATTTTGCAAATTTGTGTAAACGTAGATCTCCAGATAGTCCTTCTGCTGAAACGAAAAAAAAAAAGAAATCGGTCAGAAACTATAGATTTTATGAGGGTGCTCCAGTCTTAAATGGGTCACACTGTATAAACATGGTAACAAGATGAAATTAAGTATATTCGTCGACATTAAGTAGCTGATCTGAGGAAATCAAGAATCCATGAATTGTCATGGCAATCCCCGAAAATATCTATTAGATCGCGATCTCTTCAGTTCACACTTTCGGAATTTGTGAAAATCCTTTCTTTGAACACAATGCTGATATAAGAGTCAAATGTACAGAGTCTTTGATTCATAAATATAAATATTAAAACTTAACAATGCTTAATACTTTATACAGTCACAGCCTATCTTATCGAGATAGATTTTAGTACAGTTCGTCGCCTTCCATGTTGGTGAGAAGTTTCTTTTTGTCTTCCCTTGGTTCAAAACAAGGCTGGAAGAAATAATAATATTCATATTAATCCCTAGTGGTCGTCGGATGATATAAACTACGCAACACTAATTTCGTCGCACCCCAAAAGAATCCCAAATGGATAAAAAATTGTTTTTCAACCTCGACAGCAGAGGCATGAAGATGATCTCATTACCTATCGACATTTTTCAAATTGTCATCTCTTTTATTTACAGAGTGATCTCAAAAAATTAACTTTCTGGTTTTGCAGTCATAACTTTTTTCCTTGTCAACCCGTTTTAAAAATCTTATTTCGAAGCTGAAACTTCGGGAGTTTCAGAATCCTAACTCAACAATTACGAAAGATACAGGGGTGCTTTCATTAGAAGTGAGACACACTGTATAATGTTCATCTTGAGTCAATTCTGATCTTCATATCTCTTCACCTGAAGTTCAAGCTTCAAAATGAGCTTGAGAATTCAAAAATCGGTTGACGAGAAAAAAAGTTATGACTGCAAGACCAAAAAGTTAATTTTTTGAGATCACTCTGTAAATAGAAGAGATGAGGAGACAATTCGAGCACTGTCCCGAGATAATGAGATCATCTACATGCCTCTACTGTCAAAGTTGAAAAAAAAAGTTTTTCTCTATTTGGGATACTTCTGAAATTTCCAAAATTTTGCACAGTTTCAGTTTTAAAGAATCACGAGATTATAGCTAAAGGACTGAGCTTGCGAACATTGTGATCCGAATTCAAATCGTTAGAAGCAGAAAAAAAGTTATTCATATTTCAACAGAGGCAAAATTTTGGGGTGCGACGAAATTAGTGTTGAATAGTTTAGATCGCATGTCATCAAATTTTAATTACATACTCCAGGAATCAATAGAACTTGAAGAAATACTATCATCTATCAAAAGGGTTACTCTTTTTTACACCACATTTTCATCATTGATGGAAGTGACGTCACTCTCTGATGCATCGAATTGTTGGAGTCATCAGTGTTGAAAAAAAAACGCAGGTATTCGACATGACAATCACAACTGTTTTTTCTTGTATCTAGTTTTGTTTTCCTGATTTGATGGGGATTTAGATTGTTCTCAATAATTAGAAGCTCAAAATTGGCGGAACTGATGTAAAATGAAGTATTGAAAGTGTTATTGGAGTCTTTGTCTCAAGATCCAGAAGTTCTAGCAGTTCTTCTGATAGTTTCAAGGATGAAATATTGTTTATGTTGGGGAGTAGACGAGATAAGTTGGAAAATGTCAAGGAGACTATACACACAAGGAGTGCTCAAAACCCATGACAGGCAATTGTTTAAGAAAGAGATGCAAGAAGCTGCATGTCCACTGACGTCACACGCCATCTTGAATGCCATGGTATGTGACGTCAGTGGACATGCAGCTTCTTGCATCTCTTTCTTAAACAATTGCCTGTCATGGGTTTTGAGCACTCCTTGTGTGTATTGTCTCCTTGGGAAACTAATTTCCTGAAATTAGGGATGGGCAAGAGAAAAGTACCTACCACATTTTCATATTCAAGGCTGATTTCGATTAATTCATCCATATTTTTTCTTAGGCGAATGGCAAACAGCTTTCAAATCCAATATTTTGTTATTCGTTATTTGAGGTTATGCTGTCGCTGAAGGGGTGCGAAGCCTCAACTCGACGGGTTAAACTCGCGGGGACTGCCAAGAGTGCCAAGGTAGGAACAATTGTTGATATTTCAGAAGAGCATCGTTCATGAAAATATCTATAAAATAGAGCCAGATCGCCAACTTTCCTACGGTGTTCCAAAGAAGTGAGTGAGTTTGTGAGCGAGGCATCACCCACGAGACGAATTGCCCTTTTTTTGACAGAATCCAACAGTTTCAGGGTATGTTTGGGTGCTGCACTCCAAATAACAGTATTCCAGGACAGATCGGATCTGTGCCTTATAGATCATAAGCAGCTGACTGGAAGTGAAATAGCTCTTGGCCCGAAACAGAAAACCAAGTTTTTGGGATGCACTTTTAGTAATTGATCTGACGTGATTTTCCCAAGGAAGGTTATTGCTGATAGTTATACCATGCATCGAAATGGATGTCTTCAAAGGTATGGTTACTCCTAACAAGCTTATGTTTGGCACAGTGAGATCGGCTTTTCTAGAGAAAAGGCGTGCTTGTGTTTTGTTTGCAATGAAATCTACCAAGTTATTGGATTCCCATTCGAGAATTGCTGCCAAGTCCATATAAATGTTGTCAACATTTCTCTCTCGTTCGTTTCTGATTTGCCTGGCTGGTTTGGAGCCCTGGAAGGGAAGGCGGTATGGAGGGTACTATCATCCGCGAAACTGTGTACTGGACATGACATTGCTTCCAACAAATCGTTGATATGGAGTAGAAATAGTGTTGGTGCTAGACTTGATCCTTGCGGAACACCAGCATTTATGATAAGAGAGTCAGATGGAACTCTGTCGACCACTACATGGAGAGACCTGTTTGAGAGAAAACTAGCTAGCAGGAAACATAGCTGGGGAGGCAAGCCATAAGATGGAAGCTTGCCAAGGAGTCTGTGGTGCCAGCCTCGATCGAATGCCTAGGAGATATCAAGTGCCACAGCTAAGGTTTCACCAGCAGGTCACCAGTTGATCTTTGATGACGGAAGCCATATTGTCTATCGTTGATAATACCTGAATGTTCCAGGTATTTCATGAGCTCGATGTTGATAGCTTTCTCCATGATCTTTGAAATAATAGATAGCAGTGCGGTCGGTCTGTAGTTGCTAGGTAGGGTGTTTTTGCCTTTTTTAGGAACTGGTTGTACTCTTGCAATCAAGAGCTTGCTAAGAAAGTGGCCAGGCAGCCAGAGTTTCTATATTCTAATCCACATTCACTTACCGGTCGTGGGTTCGATTCCCATCGACTGCAGACATTTTTCTGATGGCCCAAGAAAGTGTTCGGGATCACACGTTAAAAGGTAAGGCCCCCGTCATTCCTTGCTCGCACAAGACTCTCGAAGAATTCTGAGGGTTGCTCGTGAGGTGGCAACCGAATGACGGATAGAACAATTTTAGAACAATTTTTTCTCAAAGTACTTACCGTTTCACAGACGTTCATGTTGCAACAGTTCTCGATGGTGATTTCGCACTGCTCCGAGCTGGGCTGCGGTCTGTAAGTGAGCGGCGTCACGTTCTTGTTCACGATGATGCGCTTCTTGATCCGGGGTCGCTTCTTCTGCACCGTGCGGATGTACACGCCCATGGCGATGATCACCAGCAGACAGAAGAGGACGACGGCGGAGAGGTAGACCACGGGGTCTTTGAGCCGGTCGAGGAAGTCGCCTTGGTCGGCAGGCGCCTGGAGAGCGGCGATCTTGTTGCCAGAAAATCCAGAGTATTCGGTGCACCTGGAGATAAGTTTCTTCTCAAGTGTTTGTTATTTATTTGTTGCGCTCGATCTTTTTTAATTCATTCAATTTCATTCCATCAATTCAGAAATAATAAGTCAAAGAGTGGTGCGACTCGAACATTTTGTTCTTCAACATATTAAAAACCAAGATAGTGCCTTTCAAATGATCAATAGGCGAGTGAACTATTTTTTTTTATTTCTCAAATAGAATCGTCACTCAAATACCTTGCTATTCCATATTGGGTGGTTCGTTCAATTTACAGGCTTTTTCGTTCTTCCATTTTTTTCGAGAAACAAACCGGTTTTGAGATAAATAACCATATACGTTCTAAAACATGTTAATTTTGCCTATGTTTCGCTTACATTTCATTTTCGTTGAAAATGCAATGAAATGTACTCACTAAAATTGCGATCAGAAGTCCAATTTGGATCAGTATTGGGGATACAGATGATAAAAAGTCAAGGTTTTTTTTCAGTTGAATAAAATTTAAGTGAAACAGGCAAAATTAACATGTTTTAGAACGTATATGCTAATTTATCTCAAAAACGGTTCGTTTCTCGAAAAAACTTGAAGAGCAAAAAAAGCCTCTAAATTGAACGATCCACATAATTTGATCACTGAAAGAGACGTATAACGGAAAAGTTTGGGGGGAATAAGGAAGCGTCTACCCCCATAAACGTATCACCCTGTAGATTTTGAAAATCTTTAGATGGCTTGAAATGATTATCTTCTAGGAAGTATTAACCACACCGAATTTCAAAATGATATCTTGACAAGTAAGCGAGATATTTCAACTAATAGAAGAAAATAATTCAGCTTTGACACCCTGTAGCTCCGCTATTGAACGAGATCGGACTAATGTTTATATACACTTTTTTGATTAAAATGATGAGATCCATCTTCCATTTCAGTTTGTGCCTCAATATGTGACTGATTGTTTTGATTCAATTCAAATTTAAATGGTACTGACTATTTTCATACATTTATCAAATGTTATCAATTCAATTTACATTTATAAATCCACGCTTTGTCAATAAGATTATCATTTGATAATGAAGTAGATTTTGATTGATTGATCGATTGATTAATATTTTTCAAACATTATCACTGATAAGATATTATCTCAGAATGTATTTCTGAGACTTATTTGAGACAGGAGGTCTGCTTGCAACAAACGTCAATACAGTTTTTTTTATATCTTGTGTCATGACAGATATGAGGATAAGAGGGAATTTTTCGTTGGTCTGATTGACCCCCAGTCCACCACTTTTTGATAAGTCTGTATGTGGTTTCCTTTTGATGAGTCTATCACACAATTACTTGTACATATATATACGTGCACACAGCCTGACACAGCTATAAGCAACCCTCACTTATCATGCAAAGGTCTACCATTCAAGTTAGTCAACATTGCCGGCATTGAACCAATTTCTAATGACTACTTAATTTATGAGCCAGCATATCTTAATGACATCTTGACCTGTCCTAACCTGACTACAAAACCAACTTTTGATTTCACCGACACATTCTAATCTAGGCCACAATGAGTTTGTATACAAATCGATTTCTCCGAATCTGAGTATGATATAATAAGCTTAGTTTCAATAAACTCCAGAACTGTTTATGGGGTTTTATCGATTTTGGTTTAAATAAAATTGATTTCGATTCATCCATGAAAATGCTGTAACAGAATTTTCAGTTCGGATTTTAGAATTGAACTGCAAGAATTAGGAGATTCTTGGTTGTCATAAAAAATAATCATGAGAATCATGCTAATATTAATTCCTGAAGCTCACCTGCACAGCGACTCGAATTTATCTGAAAACCCTGCATTTGATATGTTCTGGCAGTACATGTCACAGATTTGGATGTTGTATTCGCACCTATCACCCAAAAATCCTTCAGCACATCGGCATTTCGGCAGATCCCTCGTGGAAAACAAGCTGCATTCCCCACCATTCAAGCAGAATCTGTCGCATTTATTCTGTTGACACCTGTCACCGAGGAACCCTCTCTTGCAATGGCACTGAGGTTTCCCCAAAGTGGACAAATAACAGTTGCCGTTCAGACAGTAAAACTCGCTGCATATCGAGCTTTCACATCTGATCCCAGTAAAACCTCTTTTGCAGATGCAGTGATTTCCCTCCAGCTCCCCATCATTGAGGCATTCCTTGACCTCATCCTTTTCAACTACTGGTATCGGCTCTGCTTCTTTATCCTTCTGGTGGTACTCTTTTATTGCTGCTTCTAGTGCCGAACAGTCTGGCTCCTCTTTAATGATATTGTTGTTTGAAACCAATCCCATGGGTTTACCAGGAAAACTACGTAGCTTGATCATTCCTTTTCCGTTTTTTGAGGAGCTGTAAAGTGCGTTGTTGTTTGTGTCGGTCCAATAGATGGCTTCTTCATCTACTGCTATGCCAAATGGTTCCATGGTGTTCCTTTCAATTACTATTTGTCTGTTGGTTTTGTCTAGATTGATGCTTTCTATCCTTCCTGATGAAGTTCCTATGCGACTGTCAACCCAGTAGAGTTTTTGAGCTTTGTAGTCAATTGTAAGCCCCACTGGGGACATGATGAGATTGTCAACAATCACTTCTCGTTCTGATTTGTCAAGTTTGATACGCTCAATGGTAGGTGTGTGTCCAGGGTTTGTGAAATATAAGTATCTGCAATTGAAAATAGACCGTTCAACAATATATCTATAATGCTATTACTGTGAAATAACACCGACTAGCTCTATAATAATATAACTTAGAATTTCTACATTTCTTTTCTCACCGTTTACAAACATCAATGGCGAGAGCATGAGGAACTTCTTCTTCGAAAACCAAAAATTCTTTTGGTTCGAATGTCGTTTCATTTAAAAGTACATAGTTGATGGTATGGTTAATAGCGTCAGTCCAATATAACACGTCTTCTATAGGATCAACAGCCAATCCCTTGAAAACATAAGAAGTATTAAATGAAGTTCAACAATTTGCATTAAGGGTCGGCCTTGGTTCATATCAATGCTAGTTTTATCTACCTGTACGTCACCTGGAAGACCGTTGACGATTGGTACAGTTTTATCAGTCTCTTTGGATAGTTGTACAGTATAAATTGTGTCATTTTTCATGTCCATATCACTAACGATGAATTGGTCTCTGACATCGTCATAAGCTAGCGCCTTTAGCGAACTGAAGGGCTGTGTTTTTGATTCGAAAATAGTTCCATCTGTGTGAAGAAGACTGATTTCATTGCCTACTACGACTGCCAAATCTGAAAAATAGAAAAAAAAAATGTTTTTGGTGATGAACTCATTGCAAACGGCCCCCCCTCTATATCTCAGCTATCAGTGGTGCGATCTATACCAAATTTGTATCGGTATGAATAATCATCAATATGACCAGTTTTTCGAAGACAAACAGCATTTTAGACAGTGCCGTGCATTTTTATTGAAATGGATAGGGGTCAGTTTTTTACTAAATCATATTAAGCATTTTTTCACAGGAAAACTGACCTCATAATATTGTTCTTCATGGTTTCAGAAAAACAGGCACATCTGAACAACATTTTTGCGAACGTAATAATTATTTACTCGGAAACGGTGAGTTCAACAAAAAAGAATAACTCGTTTTTCCTTCCAAATCATGATTTTCCACCTACCGGACCCATTGAACGTTCCAAAATTCGTAGTTCAGTCTCGAATAAATAGTGACTTCAAATGAAAAAAATTGAGCCAATACTGTTCATTCGTTTTTTTTTGCATATGGAGGTTCGAAAGCATGAGGAACAATAATATGAGGTTAGATTTCCTGTAAAAAAATGTCTAATATGATTTCATGAAAAATCGACCCTTTTTAGTTCAATAAAAACGCAAGGCACTGTCCAAAATAATGTGCATCTCTGTAAAACTGATCATATTGATGGTTATTCATACCACACCAAATTTGGTTGGAATCGCATGACTAATAACTGAGATATAGAGGAGGGGGGGCGTTTAAAGTGAGACACGCTGTATATTATGCAAGAGACGAATAAGGTAGATAAAAAAATTGTATTTGTTGTGATATGAAGAGAATTACAGATAGAAAAGGTGTTGCTCTTAATTCTCTTCCAACCATATAAATCGCCTTACCTAACCTACACCAACAGAGTTTTGATTACATGAATAAGATAAGAATGTCATGAAACATCCCACAGCTGATAACAGCAGTCACTGATTAAAAAAATTATTTTGATGTCATTATACACAAGGCCAACCTTGGGTACCTAGCTATTTTTATCTGGCATCTGGCAACACTTTATAGTAAGTTATATCCTTGATTGTTGTATGTCAGTAAGTCGCAAAAGCCTTCTGTCAACCTCGAGTCAAGTCGAACAACTCTCTACCAAAACTCTCCTATCTATAGAACGGCAGAGATTTGAAATTGTTCGCCTAGAGGTATTCCCAAGAATTTATATATAACCGAGTATACAACCTTGATGATAATAGGGATTTCCTCCGAAAGAAAAAAAAATCTATTTTGATCAACTGTGATTGTTTTCACTCAACTTGTTGATTCATTCCAATTGCAAAGCAAAATTCTATTCCACAAGTTTAATGTAGGTACTACATATACATATCAGATAAAATAATGTCCAGACATCACAACATACATATACCTATCTAACATTTCAACAAATTCATCAATCGAATTGGTATCAATTTTCAAGTAGAATAATTACATTGGGCAGTCTCAAACGGCGCATGCTTCAAACAGTTCAAATCGATACCACGTGGAGTAAGAAATAAACCGTGCGGGTAGTCACGTAGGCACAAAAGATACAAGATACCTAAAGACACCCAAGAAGAAAGAAACAGAAATCTCCCAGATTTTTTGTTGTATGCACTTTAATATCACCTTATCACCTACTCATAATAATGAGAGAAATAGTGAATAACAGTTTCATCATCTTGAAAACAAAGGTGAAAAGTCAAGCAGGTATACCGAGTGATTCAATAAGGGATGGCGAGAAAGGAAGGTTTGGTGAATAAAATAAAAACCATTTATATATGCCATTCTGGTTCCCACAGCCCTCGCTAGGGGTCGTGTTATAAACTGAGATACTTCGTCACCTTCATTGAATGGGCGTGTACACCTTAGTAGAACTTTTAACTCAAACCATGTTTATAATGATCCTTTTATACATAAAAAACGATTGATGACATAATTCGATCGAAAAATTAACTGGAATGTTTTATTTTTGGACATGAATAATAGTACCTTCTGAAAACGGACCCTCTTATGACGTAGAAACAGAAACCTCATCTCGCCATAGTTAAAAGAAAATACCAAACGACCGACGGAGACTGAGGCAACTGATATATTAATTCTTTCAACTGTGATCTCGCGCTAATTCACTTTGTCAGAAATCATGTATCATTCATCTCTGTCTGGAATAGTCTTGTTTCAGTATAAGGGGTTTTGACGTCACATCATCGCCTCGTTTTCAGAGGTCCGAAAAATCGGGGATTTCAATAATTTTTTATAAAACGTAGGGAGCTCACAGCAAGTAACGGTTTGCGGTGGTGAGCTAGTTTGGGTGAGTTCTATCGAATTATGAAATAATTTTTTTTTTGAGAAAAACGACTATATGAGGGGGCAAAATGTGGGTTATGATGGCAAAATGTGGGTAATGATGGCAAGATATCGAAAAAAGTTGTATGAAAAACTTGCTAAGAGCTCGATTTCATTCTCACATACAGAGTATTAAGCAATTATTCGAGAAAATTGCAAAAAATAGCTATTTTGTTCGAATACTTTTCGATCTCGTTACAATCATCTAATTTTTTTCCTGAATAGGTTGACAATTTCGATGAAAAGAAGATCTGTCTCGTTGTTTTATTCATTAAAATATTTCATTAAATACCTATAAGTTATGCGGAATGAGTCGTTCATTTACGACTATCAGTGAAACTTGATGACTATCAGAAAAATGTTATTTTATTGAAGTGCATAGCATCACCATAGTGATATAACTGTTAGATACCCTGCCAAAAATACCTTATGAAGTCTCATGAAGAAATATAGATAAAATATGAGTATTAATAAGGATATATAACCGAGTTCTGTAGCGTATGAGTACATTATCTCTGGCACATGAACTTTCTAAAAGGTTTAATGATATTTCATGAGTATATGTGATTTATAAGCGTATACAAATATAGAGTATGAGAGTTTTTATCAGGCACAAGTGGTTTGAGGAGCCTATGACCACCAATAAGATATTCCACTTCCAATTGGAAAAGTATTCTATGCACATTCATGCGCCTTAGTATATATGAGAAATGTGTAGGAATTTACAAATAGAATTCTATTGGGTATCGTCAGGAAAAAAATATATCAGGATTTTAGAGTTTCACTAAGGAATTCCTTATCTAATTTAATGCGATTTCTATTAGCATTCATGTGACTCAGAATAACTGAGAATTTACGAGTTTCAATTAGACAATGAATGCCTATTCTGAAATGTGTTCAATGAGTGTTTATAAGACAACTAGTTTCAAGGTTTATGAGCTCAAATATGAAAACACGGTTCTGAAATTATAGGTTTCTTATCAGCTTGAATCCGGTAAATAATTATTGAGTAATCATAAGTTTTTAAAAGACAATATAGATATAATCTTTAACGTATTCCATGGGTTTTTGTGAGGGTGAAAATTGTTCGATAAATTATGATATTCAATAGGGAACTGCTGCCATGATTCTATCGGTTGCTGATGAGCTTGTATGTGGTATATGTGGTTTCAAGTATTCGAGATTTCTTATAAGCAATTACTGATCTATAATGAAACGTATCTTATTAGTCAAGCTGAGGTAAGATGTGTTCCAGAATTCATGAGTGTTGATAAGGATTTACCGTTATAACTGTATTCGTATGTTATGATGTTTCATGCGTTATTTCTGTCTAAGAATTCTGGACAATACATGCCTAATCTGAATGGTATCTAATAAGTTTGTATGAGATGTGTTAGTTCTGAGAATTTTTGGGGTTTGAAGAGACATTACTGATTTGAAACGGAATGTATCCTATGGGTCATGCTGAGGCTTGATGTGTATCAAAACTGATGGGTGTTGATAAGGGTATACCATTATGACTCCAATGGTATTTTGAGAGGTTTTATGCGGGATTGCTGTATAAGGATTCAAGATTTTAGATTAGACAATACATGTCTGATTCGAAATGTATCTGATTATTTTTTATGAGATATGTATCTCATGAGGAAATGTTTGTTTGAGGATTCATGAGAGTTGATAGGGATTCACCGTTATGACTGTATCCATACGTTGAAATGAATGATGCGTTATTGGGACTCACGAGTTTTGATAAGACAATACATGTCTAATCTGTATGGTAACTAATTAGTTTGTATGAGATGTGTATGTTCTGAAGATTTTTGTAGTTTGAAAAGACAATACTGATTTGAAATGAAACGAATCCTATGGGTCAAGCTGGGGCTGTATGTGTTCCAGAATTCATGAGTGTTGATAAGGATATACAGTTATGACTTCAATGGTATGTTGACAGGTTTCATGCAGAATTTTTGTATAAGGATTCACAAGTTTAGATAGGACAATACATGCCTAATCTAAATGGTATCTAATGAGTTTGAATGAGATGTGTATGTTTTCGAGGTTTGTGAAGACAATGCTGAAGCTAAGGATATAATGTGTTATAGACTTCTTGAGGGTTGATGAGGATATATAGTTATGACTTCTAGTATATCGAGAGGCTTTTTCGCAGAGTTTTTTCATGATGATTCACGAGTTTGGATCAGACAGTTCATGTCCAATATAAAATGTTTCCTATAAGTTTGTGTGAGTTTTCAATAGTACAATATTTTCAAGTTCAAAATATATATTATTAGATCTTATGAGGATTAATGACAATGATTGACAGTTGTTATATGATGATAATAATAAAACAAGAGGTTTTATGCGGAATCTGTTTACTAGTTTCAATCAGACAATGCATGCTCAATCCAAAATGTATCAAATGAGTTTGTATGAGAAAATCAGTTCAAAGATTTGTAATTTCTAATGAGAACACGCACGGTTCTAATATTATAAGGTAACCAGCAGTTTTTATGAGGAATATAATTTTTGATAGCTCATAACTTCTATTCTGCAAGACACCATTGCGTAGGTACAATTTTTGTGTTCATATAATATATCAGAGTCAGTGCTTGAACGCACGTCATTGTTGAAGGTGAACATTATACAGGGCTCGGCTAT